TATGTTCTAATAAAATTTCTATGCATTGCAAATTAATGTAAAACAAAATCTGTCCGCACGGAGAACGCAAACGCAATCTTTTACTTCTTGGAAATATTTTTATAAAAAGCTCGTCGCGCGAACCTCGAGAAGTTCAGTGGCAATGTGTAATAGTCGCTTTTATAATTCGCGTTTTTTCTTTAATATATTTCCGCGAGCGTTATCTTCTCCTCGTGAGAATCATGTAATTCGGATGATCGGATCCGATCGTGGAGAAAGACTTACCCATCGCGAGTGAGAAGGCAGGCACCGCTTCCGCGAGAACGCAACCCGAGCGTCGCGATTTTCCGTCTCAATTGTTTCCGTAAAATAACGTTAGCGAGAGAGACCGGTTTGTTTTCCTATGCGTCCATCAGGAACTAAAGGGGAATCAAAATAACTGTGCGATTTCTGTGTGCGGCCTTTGTGCCCCGGCGAGAATAACGGGTTTCGATTAATCTCCCGTTCGCCGAACACCGAGATTTTTGCGCCCGTTATTTCGATGCGCCGCAATCAAAAGACTCGTGCTGATACACTACTAAAAAAAAGGGACGCGCAAAAATAGCGATACTAGAAACAAAATATGTATAAAAAAAAGAGGGATATCCTCGTTGTTGATATACCAAACGAGAGAGCGCGAGCTCGGATGTAATCGATTTGTCCATTGCTCTCTATTTCGATATATTTTTTTTCCCACCGGGAGCAATTATTTTTAATTGTTTTCAAGTAAATAGTTATTATTATAAAAACGCAACCTCACCCTTCGACGCACGCGTATTTGTTATTTTGTTGCGGCTCTCTTCGTCGGTATTTTTTGTTTTGTTTTTTTTTTTTAACTTTATCGACGTTGCAGGCGCGATTTCGAATCAGTAGACAGTGATTTGTTTTTTTCCTTTCGTTCGTGAAAACAATTATAGCAAAAACTGCGGAACTCTGCAAATTTTTTTAAATCGTTGTCGTGAGACAACGCTCGCGTGTAATTTTCGCGCTCTATATATATATTTAAAAAAAACAACAAAAAAAACAAAAACAAGATAATTAGATCGGATAACGTACGCGTTGTTAAACTGTTTTGAAAAAGTGAGATACGAGTTTTTCATTATTAGAGAAATTGCGAAGCAGGTTCCGCAAATTAGTTTCAATCCTTCCGCTCCGCCTCATTTTTTTTCTCTCGCCGAGATAATTAGACGCATTCAAATGAACCCGGAAATCCTTTCGCGCGCTGTAACGTCAGACAGATTTTACACGCGCGCGCTTCGGCTAATTTTTCCTCCGCAAAGCGCAAATGTCGTGTATCTCCTAGCTGCTGCAATTTGCACATTTTTCTCCCCATTTTCTTTGCCGCGAAACGAACGAACATACTCGTACTGCAAAGAGCGTAAAAAAAAAAAAACTTTCCTTTGTTATTAAAAAGGAAAATCTCAATTATTTGTACGTTGTACGGGTGTTTGCGTACGCGCATGTGAAGAGAGAGAACAAACATCATAAAAGTATTCCACACATGTAACAATGTGTAAAAAAGTGCAAATACTATGTAATTTTTAAATTGCGGTTTCGATAGAATGAAAAAAAGAAAAAATTCCGCACGCATCTCTCGCTCAGTGACGAGATCGTATTATTATTGAAACGGTTCCTATTGTTCTCTGCGGATTCTCCAATACCTACCTATGATTGTGGAAATTCGTTTCTCGCTGCGCGCGAGCGCGCGCGGTTTTATTACGGCAATTCAAAGATCCATACGTTTAAGCGTGTCAAAGCTGACCCCGAGCGCGGGAGAGTGTGATATGTCGCTCGCGAAATTGCGTCGACGATCCGAAACTCTCTCTCTTTCTCTCTTCGAAATGTATATCTACGATCGGCTGTCGGTTGCACTCTGTATCGCGCGCGCAGAACCTCGGGGGAAACTTTCCTCGGCGCGGACGAACTTTATCGCCGCCGATTTTTCACGACTTTCGCAACGAACGACAGCGCAACACGTTCACGCGGGAAAAGAGGGAAAGAGTGGAAGACAGAGGGAGTTTCGAGCCGCGTCAGTTTCCAGGGGAGCTCGCGAAATCCCCATCACGACGGCGGAAGACGCCGCCGTGGAAAAGAGAGCTTTCCGCGAAAAGAATTAGCAGAATTTAAAATTAATTAATTAAAACGAGATACGCAGCTCCGTTAATATAACAGAGGGAAAAATATTTCTCTGAAATTAATCTCGTAATGTTTTTTTTTTACGTAGAGGAAGCTCTCTCTCCTTTTTTCGAGTCCTGTCTGTGTGTAATACAAAAGTGATGTATAAACGGCGATATTTGCGCGCCAAAAGAAAAACATAATATTAAACATTATTTTACGAGGTGAGTAAGTATCTGAGATCGCGCGCGAACAAAGAAAGCGCGTTAATTATTTCTACTGTTAATTACAACCGAAGCAAATTTCATCAAGCGTCGCGTACGCATCAGGTACACACACACACACACACACATACTAAAGTTTCATTGCAAAAGGGGATTAGAGATTCGAGCACACAGGCGGTTATTAATTTTGACCATGAAAGGGACGTGGCGCGAATCTCGCCTAATGCATCGCTCTCTCGTATTATACACACATTCAGGAATTAGTATGGGCACGCGCGAGCCGTCCCCAAACCTGTTTAGCTAGATTAAATCAATGGAGGATCGGGGATGGAAACGCGCGCGAGGTCAACGTACGAAAATCCGGCCCGCGTATGCGGGCAGTTGCATTATGTCCACGGGACATCGTAATCGCATTAATCGCATTGAGCGAACGTCGCATTGAACGCCGATGCATAAAAGCCGCCGATTGCGACGACGCGACGCGAATACGTACGTCGTCGTCGTCGTCGTATGGTGGCCGCGACCGTCACCGGAGATATAGAGGAGAATTTTCGGAGACGCAACAACATCGTCGGAAAATTTCCGACGCTTGTTTTCCGCGCGCGCGAAAGTCGACAAACCCTCCTGCGCCGGAGTTTCGAATTGGCAACGACATCATGTCGCGAAACGGAAATGAATCCGGGCGCAGATGGCTCGCGAAATCTGCGAAATCGTTTTGTAATCCTCGACATTATTTCGCAAACGGACGGAGAGGGAGAGATTTGTTCGGATATATAGTTTTTGCAAAAACATATTTCTAGGAGGAAATGCAAATATTTGTTTAAAAAAATACTTTCCGAGGTGGGACGCGTACGTGTCTTTTATCAATTTACATTTAGTCGCGATGTTACACACACACACACACATACATACGTACACACGTACACAAGCACGCACGCACGCATGCACGTGCGGAGTCAAAGTCAATCGATCGCTTGCGCGCGCATTCGATTCCCATTATTCAACCAATGTATTTATGATTCTGGGATATGTGACCAGGATTGAATCTAAATTCCGTTGAATCAACGATAATGTGCTGCATTTTCGCGCGTGAAACGTACTCGAATACGTCACACGGTGATTCTGCAAATCACATGGAACACGGCGAGATAACAAATATCTTGCGAGTTCGATAACCGAAAGAGTAAGTTGCGAGAATTGGGAACAAAACTAGAATATTCGCAAAGAATATATTTGGGACTGTTGGAACAGTTTTAGATCTTTTTAAGATGACGTGCAATAATTTTACATCGAATAACGGCACTTCTCAAAATGGCGAAAGGTCATGCGTCGGAATGACGCGTATTTAGATTTTCGATCGAATTGTCACAAAGATTTAAAATAAAGTTCTCGATTAAAACTCAGATTTTACCCAACATACAGGATGTTTGAAAATTTTTGACCAAGCCAAAGTGCGAAGATTGATTGCGTCAATCTGAACCAGAAAAGCCATTTACCATTTTGCAAAATCCCGCAATATTTATTGAGTCATTAATTAACGAACGCGAGCGCGCGATGGTCCGCGGACTCCGCAGGCGTGTATGAATTTTCAATTGTAAAGGAAAATGACTCGCAACTTTGAAAATCGTACACGTCTGCAGAATCTGCGGATCGTCGCTTTTCACGCGCTCATTAAATCGCGTTCATTAATTAATGAATATAGCGAATGTTGCGAAATGGCAATATGCTAAACACACTTAATAAATATTGCGAATTTATTTACAAAATGGCACATGACTTTTCAAATGAGTTGACCCGATCTGTCCTCACACTTCGGCCGTGTCAAAAGTTTTCAGACACCGTGTGACAAAAAATTTCGACCGAGTTTCACATTTTTTTTAACTGCTGTTTTTGATCGCTTTCCATCTGATTATGCTAAACACGCTTAATGTTCCTGCTGCTCATCATGTTTAATAGCAACTAATTACTTGTACTCTGTGTCACAGGAAGGTATAAGTGCCTAAATACTTAAGATAAGACGATAGTGTCTCCGAACTCAAACATACCCTCTTAACACTTAAGTAGTTGTGCGAACCTCATAAGCAATATTCATGATGCTGTTTACTTTATGTAGTAACTTAAGTAGTGTAAGTAATGTAAGTATAGAACGTACCCCAACTACCTTCTCCCTTCTCTCTCTCTCTTCCTTGCTTTCAATAAGATGAAATTAACAAGAGAGCGGAGAGCGGGAGGAGAGAGGGAGAACCAAACTGTTCTGATAGATAAATTTGTAATCAGCTTTCGGCGACAGTTCTGGTTAATTAACTCAAATTATCGATTTTCCTTGCTTCAATCAAACCCGATTTCTAGGTAGGTTGTAATTTGTAGAATCGGAACAGCGAAAATTCAGAATCCCAGTATTTTAGTTCCGAATCACGCGGAATGAATCTAATCAGCGACTCGATTGGCATTTGCTTCCATTTAGTCAATATTACGGAAAATGAAAACTACGATTACTAGAGAGAGAGAAAGAGAAACAGAAATAGCAATAGTCTCTCTCGGATGCTGCAATTGTCACGAGAGGTCAAGCGTCGCAAATGAGATAAGATCGAACATATGAGGGCAGTTCCCTCACAATGTAAAGAACGTTCGTAGTAGCTTTACCTCGCGATTGAGCGGCTTCGCCAGAGTGATGACACCGGTGCGCGGATTGACGACGAAATGATCCGTGAGTTGTATGCCATATTTCACCGGCGATCCTTCGGGATCGTGGCCCTTCAGGACGAACACCTCCGTGCCGACCTTGGTCGATTCCGAGAGCGGCAGACCCGTGGGATATCCCCCGGCCTCCAGAATGGGCGGCTCGTTCACGTTGTTACCCGCTGGAACAACAAAGAAAGAAACGTTTGTTTTCGAGAGAGAGAGAGAGAGAGTGTTTGTTGCTAGTTGCTATATTGATCGCGCACACATGTCAGCGCGCGCGCGAAATCCCGCATACACGTATGTGTGTGTGTGTGCGCGGTACACTTTAGCGAGTTTATTTATTCCTCTCGTTAACTCGCCCCTTTTGCGCATCGCGAGCGGTGTGTAAGCCGCTCCCGGCTGGTAAACGAAATGTCTGGGATGTTCCGCGAAACTCGCGTAATTCCTCCGAGAATTTTTCTATTTTTTTTGCAAAAATATGAAGCAGGTATATGGTTGTTGAGTTATATAAAGCTGATCAGAAAAGTTTCGAGAAATACGCGAAACATCGGGCGCGTGTGTATGTGTTTATTCATTTTAAATTAAGTTTTATCCTCACGCAGAAATTTAAAACAAATAGCACAACTGCAACGTGTGTCGGACTCGTAAAGCTATCTTGCGATACATGTACATAGATGACAGATGTTTATTTATTTATACACGAGGAGAACTCGCACGCAAGAGAAAAAATGTACAAAAAAAAAAAATTGAAATGTATAAAAAAAAAAAAAATTGAAAAATATGCATAAGATTGACAAACAAGCAAGAGACATCATTTGAGAGCAATTTCATTTGACGTTGGACTCGACAAGTCGATCGATCGTCACATTTGCCGACAACAAGGTGCGTGCACTTGCGGCCGCCATTGTTGCGGATGTTGCGTCGGATCGAGGTGATCAGGATTACACGATCTATGATGCAGATTACGATTGATGTGATTCCGCGAGAAGAAGATTTTTGCGCATCAATATCAATCTGTCGATAATCAATCAAATTTCGCCGCAAAAATCCGGAGAAGCACAAATGTGTTCTTTTACGCAATCAACGTGGAAATCCCAATTCAACGTGCGAGAAAGTTTCGCACACGTTGTGTCAGCGGCTCTTCCGGTGTTTCTTATCGTCTATTGTCGCATCGTGCTAGACTACACGAAACGTGTAGCCTAGCACGCTTTGTCACAAAAGACAGACGTTTTGTAAAAAAGAAATAGACTGCGTTCGTTTTTTACTGGCAGTACTGAAAATTTATAGATTCATGTCACGTATACTATAGATTTTTCAGTACTGCCAGTAATAACCGAACAGAGTCACACTTGTTTATATGAAGTTTAACAGTTTTGCAAAAGAAGAAGTGAAATAGCGCAATGAAATGTACAATGTGCAATCAAGTATTTCGTTTTTCTTTAGTTTCGTCGTCGTTAGATGTTTTGCTGCAAAAAAAAAAGCCGGCAAACAGCGGAGCGCCGTAATCAGAGTATCGGCAGATTAAAGGTTCACGAAATGAATGGCGGGTGCGCACTCTGTGTGCGATCAGCTCGTTTTCCCGGGGAAAACGTCGGGGATAAGCTTTGTTCGCGACGGGTCACGGCGCGAGGGTACTCCGGGAGCTCAAAGGAGCCTCGGAAGTCCCCGGCCGCTAATTCGACGCCGAGCACATAAGGCTCGACCTCGTAAGCCCGAAAAGTCGTAAAACTATTACCAAGTTCGTGGCGCACGAAGTGTGATGGCCCTAGCGCAAGCCGCGGAAACTTCTTTCCGAACTTCCGCAGCTGCGGAAGCTGTGCGGAAATTGTGGCGAACGTAATAGATACATCGTGGGGGGTTTTAAAGTCGGCCGATGGGGCGCGCGCTACCACTACTTTGTTTTTTTTTTGTTTTTTTTTTTTTACGCCGAACACCATTCGATACTGCGGAAGTGCAGCTGCGGCTTTCCGCGCGTCTCCTCTTCTGCGACAACGACGAAGAAGAGCCTTTTCGAAGCGGCGATAATCGTTAAAAGGGTAACGACGTTCACGACCTCGTTCCTTTTCCCGGAGTCACCGTCGTCGTCGTCGTTGTCGTCGTCGTCGTCGTCGTCGTCGTCGCGGATTCGCAACAGTCGCTTAGAATTTTTGCCATTACGTTGGCTATACAACGCCACTGTAATAAGAAGTTCGGACTTTTACGCGAGTGCTACAGCACGCGTACAGCTCGTAAATAGAAAAAAATGTTACCGCAACTACGCGATATCGTTATCGTTCGACGAGAATTTAGCCGCGTTTGTAAATAAATAACGCAGTAAATAAGTAATTCAACATTTTTGATAAATCGCAAAAAATGTGAGATTTCTTACACAGACAAAATATTTAATTAATATTTAATTAAATTAATATTTTTTTAATATTTAATATTTAATTAAAGTAATATTAATATTTAATTAAATATTATTTCACAGAAGTTGATTCTATATTAAGAAAATAAAATAATAGAAAGTAATAAAATTAATATAAAGATAGTAATTCTCTGAGAAAAATTTTCAGAAAGAAGATCGCTTTGATTTCTCGCAGCAGCGTTGAAAAAAATAAACAATTCAACAATTGATAAGTCACAAAAAAACATGAGATTTCTTACAGAAAAAATATTTAATTAATATAATTAAATATTACTCCGCAGAGGTTATCTGTATTAAGAAACTAAAATATATATAAGAATAATATAAAGTAACATAATTTATTACAAATACAATGATTCTCTCTGAGAAATATAAGATCGCCTTGATTTCTCGAAGCGGCGTGTTGAAAAAATATATAATTCAACACAATCGGTAAATCACAAAAGAGTTGGAAGTTCTTACAGAGACGAAAAATATTGAGTTAATATAATTAAATATTGCTCTACAAAGATTGCTTCTGTAGTAAGAAAAATAAAATAAAACAATAAAATAATAATACACAGAGAGTAATATAATTAATATAAATACAATGATTCCCTCTAAGAAATACTTTTGCGAGAAGGTCGCTTTGATTTCTCACGGCGGCGTTGAAAATCAAAGAACGTAGAACAACGGAGGAAAGAAAGGTCCGCGCAACTATACTTACTTCGAGTCCGCGAAGTTCGTCAGCGCGCACAAGCGAGGGAGAGATAAAGGCAGAGGAGGACTGTTTGAAAGTCCCGGCGCCGCATCGACGAAGAAAAGACCGCGACGGTTGTACGCACAAATTTTCTCCGGATCCATCAAAAGAGAAGCGGCTGTAACTTTTCCCGAGAAGAAGTTCTTCCTCAAACGCATTTTGTAAATTCAAATAAGGGATTCGAGAATGACGCCGGCTGAAGTTTTCTTGCCGAGCGAGCGAGCAAGCGAGCGAGCAGCGCTCTCTCGGTATTGAGCATCACGAATGACGCAAATAACCGAATTACCATAAATTCCAACCGCTAACTGCCGTTTTGCAATCGCGCATATCTCCGCGCGCGGCATATTAATCCGCTCACCGAACTCTCGACCGACATTTGTTTTTTGTCGGGACAGAACAAAAAAAAAAAAAATGCATTAATTGAGATGCCGAAAACGAAACGCGGGTCTAAAAAAAAACTCTCGCGAGAAGTAAATTTTGAGCGCGCCCAGGCGGAAAGAGAGAAGTCTGCAACAGTTTTTCTAATGACGCTCGTACACAATTACGCAGTTTATACGAGTCGTCGACAACTCGCTAAAACCCCGAGACTTACTTATACAAGAGAGAGAGAGAGAGTGTGTGTGTGTGTGTAAGTCCTCGCAATTTCGCTGCAATTGTCACCTTAATTGCGCGAAAACTCGCGGAATAACCGACGCCGCGAGGCACCCTCTCGAGGGTCGCGAAAAAGCCGGTTATTACCGAGGATTGACGGAAATCGAGAAGCTAGATAAAACTGAATCGGCAACTAACTCTCTTTCTTGCTAACTTTCTTCCTTGAATTCTATGCAGTCGTGTTTGGGAGTTACGATCTCATCATTTCGTCTCTCGCCCTCATCGCGGAATTCTCTCCCGCCTACTAATCTTCTCCATTTTCAAATCGTCCTTACAAGGTCGCGACAACCCTTGGCGCGCGCGCGATAAGGAACAATTTTCGCACTGTGAACCTCTTTTTATTGCGCCTTCCTGACGCATTTGTGATCAGCTCTTCGCGTAAGCCACATGTGATTGTCGTAGTCCCTCCGAAATGTTACGTTCGAGATAACTCGATGAAAATTAGTTGGTTTCTACAAAAATTACAGCTTCAACATTACGTTTAAAAAAAATTACATTTCAGTTTTGATGAGCGTATAAGTACGTAAATCTCACGCGACGAAAAAGATGAATATTGATCGCTCGACTGTTTCCAATAAAAAAAAAAACTCAAGATTAGTTTTCTCGTTTCTTACTTCGTAGTAAATTATTAAATGTCAATCAAAAAGTGGCGGTGAATACGCAGCGAATGTATATGGTTGTAATACTGGAAGATTAATGCGACATCCTGTATAAAATTGAAACCCCGCGCAGCGGGATTCTAAGACGAGTCGATGACCGAGAAAATGGAATTGCGCGGAAATAAATCTTGACTAAAAAAAAAAAACGTGAAAATCCTTGGCGCGCGAATACATATTGATCTTGATAAATATCGCCATCGATCACAATCGGTCTGCGTGGATTATTCTTCTAACGACACGTCGCGTCTGCATCTTGCTCATTTCCATCGCGATATAAATCACCGAGCGATTCTTTCCCTTCCGAAGGCCGCTAATTCGATCGCGCAACGAAAATTCTTGCGGCAGCAGTTTTCTTCGCTTTCCAAACGTGAATGTGTAAAACATTTTTGTGTACGATATCTAGCTCGCGCGTGCGAATTAAATCCGCGAACATGATAAAACTCCGCAACACAGATCTGAAAAAGGGAACTAAAACGAGTCGATTTACACATGTGAGATGCAAACCCGAGCGTCTTAGATGAATTTTCGAATTCAATTCAATTTGAATTTCTATGCGCGAGTAAAAGCTTTTTGCTATTATACGCGGCCACCGAGAAAAATGGCTGAATCTATTTTTTGTAAACGTTTTATTGGCGAAACAAAACTCTGCTCATAGATTTGAGCAATTTTTTTTCTGTTTAGCAACTCAATTCTTGCTCTATTTCTTTTTTTCCTTGTGCGCAT